GTGCTCCCGTGATTTCTTTGTTAGTTGTTTGGCATTTACTTCACTGTTAATCAGCTGTATATTGACCGTGGATGACTGGCAGTTAATGATATTATTATCCGGGATACATTAATCAGCAAGATGATTAAGATGACTGGATATGAGTTGCTCTGGCTATGCTAATGCCACGTTCACAGCCGCCAAGTTGTGCTGAACATCAGTCGTATAGTGACTAGGATTTGCAGACAGGCCCTGTGATCACTCGGCCTCTTACCCAACAGGTATCAGGGACTCTGACCGTCGTCAGACACAGCTGATTGCCTACAGCAAAATGTAAACAATTTCTCGGTAAGGGGTGAAAGAAGAGTTGCGCCTGTGGGATCCATGTTGAAAGTTTCAAAAGTTGATAAATTGAAAGACAAATACGTTTCAAAAGAAACGAAAACGACAGACAGAAAAAAGATATTGAGAAAGGAACAAAGAGCGAATGAAAACGGAAAGAAAATGGAGGAAAATAAATGGGAAAATAAGAGAGAAAAGAATAGAAATTAAAGAACAGCAATAAAAAACAGAGGGAGGAAAAAGGAAATATAGAAATTAATTGTAAAATGAGAAATAGAAAGTAACAAAGAATCAAATAACAAATGAAGAAAAAATAAAGAGAAAATATAGAAATGAATGCAAAGGAAGGGGTAGAAATAGCGATGTATAAATTAAAGAAGGAAAAAACGAATCAAATGAATAAATAGAAAGAGAAATATATAAAAGAATGCAACTGGATAAGGAGAGAGGTAGAAGAACACGAACGAGAAATAAGGACAGATAAACAGAAGGATAAATAAATGGAAATGAGAGAAAAGGAAACGGAATATATGAAAAGGAAAACGAAGGGAATAGGCAATAAGCCCTTGCTCTTGTTCCCTACCTAACCGTACGGTAAACTCGCTTATCAGCCAACATGTCCAACATGTTTGTGCTAATGAAGTGAAATTCTGACTGAACCGTAGAAAGCGGTGACCTGTCGCTATGATTTCCTTTGGAAGTTTCCTGTTTTCACAGTATAATTATTTACACGTGGTATATTAATTCCCGTGAATTCGAGTTACATAGCGGAAATTAATTCGCTGTAAGGCAGTAGTACTCGTTTTCAGTCTAATTACTCCAGAACTTCTTGGTAAATTTGTTGAAAATATCCAATTCGATATCCTAATTTCGTATGATTTAAAGACATAGAATCCATTTTATTCCTCAGATTTCTGTGTAAGTAAAATGAGAATTTGCGTCTGTCCTGTCCGTCGGTATAGTTCACTGAGCACATTTCTATTCACTGCGAAGCTGAAACAGAATTTATCAGAAGAAATCCGCGAGCGGATGATCTTTTCCCTTCTACCCTGAAGATGGAGGCGATACGTTCCTCCGAAACGTCGGTTAACAATATCTACACGGCACCACATCCCAGAAGACTGCTTTCTTCGTAGTCACCGCCGTGAAAAACCTCAAATTTAACAGACGGTGTATGAAAGCACATGATACCTCATTATGTGCCTCAACTTTTAATGAAGTTTCGTGTTGTGTGGTGGATGCAGTGTGTCTGTAATTTGATTAGCTTAGAAAAATGGATTTGTATCTGTAACAGATGAGCAGAGCGTGACATGCAGAGTTCGTTAAAACCTACCGTTTTGTGTAACACATTCTTTTCGATATTTTCTGACCCCTTTTTTTCGTTGTATTTACAGATTTGAGTTTCATTCAGTGACTTGTTTTGCAAACGACGATTACTCTTCAGCCCAAAGCAGCCGCAAGACGCATTAACTTCCTGTGCAGCGGTTATAACACTTCCTTTTCCGAGGTGTAATCAGGCTGAAGTGTGAAGCTAATCATCTCTAGTGCCGATGATAAAAATTTGTCGAATTTATATATACTTCACCATACGTGTATGATAGAGTGGTGCTTAAGAACAGGGACATTTTTCTATTTTACATTATGATCATCTTGCTTAGCATACGTAGTGGAATAGTTCAGATAATCGACTTATAGACTCTTGGAATATGTTTCCTAGAGTTCATGCACCTAAAGCCAAGGCCGGATTGTGTACTGATGTGTGTGTACGCCAGATAACAGGCAGTTGGGCACTTTCTACTCGGTAATCAAGCGGTTTTGTCTGCACAACAAACATCTGAGTGACACCTGCACCCACAGAATTAGCTTTCGCTGGTGCCTTACCTTGACTAGGCTAGTGACTCGGCTTCATTCCTGTCTCAAAACTTGTTCAAATGAAGGCTAAGATAACTAAAGCCTTCGGGAGGGATTAAGCTTTTGAGAAGAGGTTCATAAGTCTCATAAAACGTTGATGTCAAAAAATAACATTGGAAGACCATTCGAATATTCATCCAGAAAACCCACGAATGCATGAAGGTGGTACCCAGTTCGAATTTCGGTCTAATTACCGACTATCATGAAATATTTGTTTTCCTCAGTTCCTCCAATAGAATATCTTCAAATGGATGGTGTCTTTCCTGTAAGAATTCTACCCAGTCGCCATTCACAGTCTTCTTCTTATTGTCAAACCCCTGGGACGTAATCCTTTTAAGAGCTCTGATGAAGATAATTTTCCTGAGACGTTCTTATATGAAAAAGTTTGTCATAAGCCACTGTCATTTTAGAAAACGCTTTTCACCAAGCCTCTGATACGGGAAGATAAAGACAGAAGTGTAACAAAGAATGACTGAAGAGTAACTGTAAAAAAGATTGAAGAGGCAACAGGAGGAGGGCGGACAGAAAGAAAGGGTTTTTGATTTGGCCCACGGGTCTTTCTTGTACGGGTGAAACTTTAAATTGGCAAGAAACAGTCGCTTGAGACAGGGGAATCAGATATTCAATTTTGGGATTGATTATGGTGAAGTACATAATTTAGAAATAAAAGTAATTTGACTTCTTCGCTTAAAGGCGTTTAATTCTGAGGGCGGACTGCATGGGGAGATGCGGTAGCAACTTGAAGCTTCAGAAGCGTTTCAAGATTTGCTTGAAGATAGGTGAAAACCAAGGAAAACTATATCGAGATGGTCGGTCCCAATAGGACCTTCCGAATATACATAACCAACAGTCCGAAAACACAAGAATATGGAATTTCCTAAGGTTTTCCCAACTTAAGTGGCATTGCATTATTGGAAAATTCAATATATAATTGTTACTTAATATTGTCACGTGTTAGTGATCAGACACTGGGTTTGGCTTAGTAATTGGAGTTATTGAACTCTTATAACTCGTAACTACAAATAATTATAACAGTCTCACTGATTTACACACTCTAAAGATCGCTGTAACTACAGCACACATAAAGACTTCTATGTCTTCACTAGTCGTTGCTTGGTAACGGCATCTAACCATGCAACTCAGAAGTCCAGACTGGCAACCGCCGGCTCCGAACTCCGACTGTCGACTCCCGACTCATGACTGACTGACTCACTCGGTCGGTAGGTCAATTAAATTGCTGCTGATCCACGCTGGCACAGTAATTCTTGGTTTCGAGTTCAGTCAGGAGCCATGACCATATTTTTATTTTTTACAGACTTTTACGTGTTTTGAAATGGGGCCTCCCATTTGACAATAAGAGGGGGTTTGACTACTACTGGTCATTCCGTCTCCCTCTAGTGGTGACTGACTCTGCTGGCTCTCACTCTCACTCACTCATCACAACTGCACTCCCTCCCCTTCTGTCTGCCTGTCACTCTCTCTCACTCTGTGTCTGATTCCTATCTCATAAGTCATAACGCACAATACATTTACGTCTAGTGCGCCTGCTCAGCTTGTTTATGCTACACGCTACATACGACTGACAGAGAAGTTGCTTTCCTTGCAAGGCGATAAGCCCTGATAACTGAAAATGTTATTTTGTATGATCATGAAACTGTCAAATCCTTCACGCTTGTCTATATGAACACGCGACGAAACACACACCCTCCAGCCACTGCATTTTCGCGGTTCTCTCACGTATCTCTCTGACAGATGGTTCATCTGATCCGATGGAATTTCATACAAGTGCAAACATGCATGCATTGAAGATCGCTGTTTTCTGGAATGGAACACCGTGCAGGTTGGAAGATGTTTACAGGCGTTTCGGAGGAACCATTATTTTCCAGATCTCCAGATCACTATGAGTGTGCCTAAATAATTTTCTAATAACCTTTGAAGTGATTCTGTGACATTCAATGTCTCTAAGTCAACCAGTCAGTGCGATACATTTCCAATTCGGCAACTTCTTAAAGCACGTTGATTATTATGTGCAGTGTTCGTTTCAACGTTCGATGTTTCGAAATTTCCTTCGCACGATGTATTCATGTGTTCTCATCGGTTAACACAGTAAACAGCGACTGCTTCCCTAAATACTAACAGACTGGTATTTGTAGAAACCGACGTTTTATATATTATTTAGATTATGTATCTTAGGACTTTCAATTAAACTGTAATTTTCACTTGATAATTGGGAATATTTTGCAAGAAATGTCTAAAAATGTTTGAGAAGACTCAGATTATAATTTAATAGTCTACACTCTCTTTTTGGACTTGACCACAAAAACACTTCCTGTTCTCTTGTCAAAATGATATCACTGTAACACAGGTCTGTACACCTTTCTCAAATGAAACTTCCCCGCAAATATGGATTACACTGAGGGCTTGCACGTATGGATGCCGGGCTGCTGACTTGATAGAAGTCAGCATGAAGCCGGAAGGTCCTTCGAAGGACTAACTCTGCCGAGCTGTTCATGGGGTTCCTCGGCCCTACAATAAATACTTACTCACTTGCCAACACTACATTGGCACCGCATTCTTCTCAGACAGACGCCACAATTCCACGCCCACCTCACTGAAGACCCTGCTCAGTTTGTCTTACCAAGTATTTAAATTTAATAATTAAAATTAAAGCAAGCTTTTAGTTTGTGTTTTGTAACCACTTGCTACCTCGCGCTGTAAAATGCCATGAAACCACGAAAATATTAAGCCTTGTGTGTTTGTCTTATTAGGGCGGTCGCTATGGCAAACGGAGCAGCGCTTCGTCCGAGGCACCCCAGAATGGAGTGTTTAGACCTCTGTCATCCTACCGGGAGTCCTGGAAACCTGAGGAGGGCGTGACGGCATCCGGAGTGTTCAGGGCTTTGTCGGAAGATGGACCGCCTTCAACTACAAGAGATACGACAAATACTGTAATTTACAATACACAGTCCGAGTACGCAGTAGGGATAGAAACTGCCGCGACAAGGCAGGCAGAGAGTCAGAAAGTTAGAACGGGCTCTGACATCCCAAACAAGTCTCAAATCTCAGGCACTAAAGAATCTAGAACAACTCCTGTGTCAGATAAGCGCAATAGAAATGAAAGATCAGGTCATCCTCACGTGCATTCAGAGCTTCCCAAGCGGAATTGTATCAAGAAGTCGGATTTGTCAGAAGCCAAGCGTGTTGAGAGCGAACCTAGCGGAGATTCTACACATTACAACCTCCATACTCCTGGCCCTGGCCCTGCTAGCAGTGCCAGTGAGACAGTTGCTAATGGTAGTTGTAGATACGTCAAGCTGGAGCCATCTTCGTCCTTATCTTCCCCGGGAGAAAGTCAAGGCATGCACCCCGCGGCCCGCGATACAGGGCAGCAACACGGCTTCGGTTCGCGTGGTGTGTCCCCCCTGAGCAGGGCAAGCAGCCCCAGCACGAACAGCAGCAGTGGAAGTTCCTACAACCTTTCATCAACGACAGAAACTACGGGTGAGAGCAGAGGTCCAAGGGCGACCCTCATGGGATCAACCACTGGACTTCTCTCAGATAATTCATCATCTTGCTCCCAGTCAAAAACCAAGGTAAGTACAAGCTTTACAATGGCATTAGCCCCATACGTCCTAGGCACGATGTATCTCGATTGAAACCATCGACGTTTATAAATTGGATTTGGTTGGTATTTGGGAAGTTTCCTGTCAGTCTCTCAGACGTTCGATCTGAATATTTTTGGTTTTCCAGCAAAATAAGTTACATGTTATGATGGTAATATAAAATAAAACAATTATTTTAAATTGAAGGTACAACATTAAAATGTTACAACAACCCTGTGACACAATCTACCCTTGTAAATGTATGAAAATAAATTTCTTGCGCCTTCACATCAAAGTATATATAAAATAGGTTAAAGCTATCCCTGTAGCGGGCCATGGAGGTCCTTAGGGTTGTGAGACGTTGATGGTCCCACATTATCTAGACAGTCGGCTCACAGATGGCGCTAAGGTTGTCAGCCTTACGCGCCGGCCGCCCTTTAGCCCCAGGAAGATTCCTTGACGTTCATCAATAAATCGAACCTTCTCAGGCACGTCTGTTTCCAACATAATGACTGCACAGGAATGCCAAAAACCATTGTCAGTCGGCCCTCGATACTGTGTTTATCCAGTTCCCTCAGGTGCAAGAAGATAGTTTTTCGTGCTCTACGTCAAGAAAGAAAATATAACAGATCTGTACAGAAATTTGTATGTGCATAATTTTATGCGAAGTATGAAAATATTTTATGTCAGCTTCTAAATATTGCCCTGTATATTATTACCCGCGTTTCAGTAAATTGTTTTTAAATCTAAATGTAATATAAATAATACAATGTGAATTCACTGTAGCAGAAAACAGTTCATTATATGATTGTAATTCTTTTGACCCGTTTACAATAAAACGTTGCAGAACTAAGCCAGTTAGCTTGCAGTACCCTCTTCACGTAACAGCTCTAGGACCGTCGAATTTATTTTAAAGAATCTTAATGCCATGTAAGGCTTGAAGTTTTAAAGGCTCTGACTATGGAGAATGCCGCCTCCTCGGATGTGGCGCTGTGTAGATCTTGTGTAAATCGACCTTTCGGAGGAAGGTATCGCCTCCATCTTCATGTTATAAAAATCCGCCAGCGAGGAACTAGCGTGAGCAGGTGGCTGCAAGTTCCTCGCTAGCGGATTTTTCTAACATGAAGATGGAGGCGAAACCTTCCTCCGAAAGGTAGATTTACACAAGATCTACACAGCGCCACGTCCCAGAAGATTACTACTGGCTAGTTTTGCTGCATTTGTCTAACAACAGATATCAGGTAACGGGCAATGTACCTACCGGCGTTTCTGTTCACATCTCGAGCGGAACTCTCTAAATATTTATCGGAGCGAAAAGTGTTTTCGACAGAAGTTTCAGAAAGAACTTATACACGCAATTAATGCGCAGTATACTTTTTTCCCACGAAGCTTACAGTTTTGTATGTAACTGAAATAAAGGGAGCGACAAACTTACATTTGTTATGCTTTGTGTACATTTCCGAACTTGTATATTCAACCAGACCTACTTTTCGAACCCACAAGAACGTTACCGAATATTGTCATTAATGTTGAAAGGATGTTTCCTCCTAAATGAATTAATAGAGCGGCAATTGAACTGTAAGTCCTATAGATAAACACTTATTTAAATAACTTAAAAATTGATCATGATGCCACATATTTTATTTTACTTAATACATCTTCTTCGTGTAAATAAATTTGTTCACTAGTTTTGAAGGGCATCCACTTTTTCCGGCTCTTACCTTGAATTTTATTTGCAGTCCGTCATACTTCTCTAAGACGCGTTATTAGCGAAGTGCGCAGCATGGGACTGTAAGCTCCACATGTAACAACTCGCAACCCACCGAATAAATTTTTATATAATCTAGTAACTGGTACGTTTTACGGCAATTGGTTATTAGCGAGTGGCGCAGGTAACCTCATCAATTATTGCTATATTAGCCTTAACCGAAACCGAGCTTTAGAATTTGCCTGGAACCAAAGGTCCACAATATAAATGCTTTGGTTTTGCTGTAAAACATAGTCAAATGTGGGTGGTACCGCTGGAGCAATACGTGACGGAACACATGGCGGTAAAATTTTCGAATGACCTGGGTAATCCGTAGGTGGGTGAGCTGTGGCCTTACTAAAATTTGTAGTCATATTCAAAGTTTGGTTAAAATCGGAGGACAACAACGGACACGTCACATAAACACGCGTTTTTACAGTCATTTCGAAAGTATTTTTTCGACTTTCTCCGATCCATTCCGAAGGCACCTTGGTACATAAACAATCACAGGATCCATGAAGATCTACAGATGAACACAGTGCTGAGTGAAATAGAAAAGCTGAGTACCAAATACTTGAGAAGATTAGAAAACCACACTAATGCACTAGCAGAGAACCTAACAGACAATGGCGAAACTACACATAAACTGAAAAGATACACCATCCTAACTCTACCAGACAGATCTGAGTAAAACCACAATACAGGAATTATGATACCTCTCTCCTCTTGCTTCCACTTTGGAGCACAGGGCTAACTAGAAAAAAAACGTTTCTAATCATAATTGTAGTGAAAAACAAAGTACTCGATTTATGTTAAGTTAATTTGTACTTAAAGACAGGTATCTGAACGCTGAAACTTCGGATGAATGCAAAAACACACCAACAGACAACATTTAAAATATCGAATTTATTTAATTTTACAAACATTGTCCCTACAGTCTCGACGTAGGCGAGTATACGTTTTTGTATTAAGCCCAAAATCAACCCGTAGTTCAGAGGCAAATGTTCCAGTCTTAATAGCAGTGCTGCACCGTATTAGTCACACTATTCCCAAGGCCGCGCCATAGCTCAAGCGGTTAGTCGCTGGCTTCCCACCGCGGCGGCCCCGGTTCGATCCCGGGTCTGGTCAATTGGGATTTGTGCTGGACAAAGTGGCGCTGGGGCGAGTTTTCTCCGAGTACTTCGGTTTCCCCTGCCAATCTTTATCCCACCAAATACTCCATTATCATAATCACCCGGGGCAGGCTACAATAGGCCAATCAGTGGCCACCGTGCCGAGTGGACCCAGTTGGACCCCTCCCCCCACTAAGCGAATGTAAAAAAAATAAACACTATTCCCACATTTAATAAAAGAAAAACTCCAATGTCTTGCTTGGAGTCGGCTGTTTGCATTGTGTAGCATTATGCACTGACATATAGCGTCTGTTAGCTTCATATGCGCCAAGCCACGGAAGCAGGAGGATTCACCACTCGACTAGAAGCGCTCAAACTGCTTGTGCCCATGCGCCTTCCCCGAAAGAAAAAGAGTGAAGTTCTTCGTACCCAAGGTCGTGTAGCTGCATTTCCGCGTCACTTCGTCTCAAAACAAAGTTTCGCAACAGATGTAATGGGAATATCTAATCATTAGCCAGTCACAGGTTTGATCCCCGTTGTTATAGGAGTCGTTTGGATGGTTAAGAAATTCACCACTTTTTATGAAACTCGAGCGTTAATTACCGTGCTTACAAAACCTCGAAACTGGTCTCTACCCGTAGCAAATGAATCCAGTCCATGTCTTACCACACAGTTTCTTTAAGATCCATTTCAATATTATCCCCTCATTTACGCCTAGTTCCAAAATTAAAACCTTAAATATTGTTTGAAACATTTTAGACATAATGTGTAAATACACACGACAATAATATGTCTCGATCTAATGCCATATTTGTGTTGTGCGCTAGCTGGCAACAAAAAATTTGTGTCTACAATAAGTGGACTTGAAGATTCGTTAGCCAAATCGCAAAGAACCAGTTTCTTACAGATTCATTATGCAGCTAGGAAACAAGCAGATAAACGAGTGTTATATCATGAAAACTGCCTGATGATGATCCAGCTGGATCGAAGAAAGTACCAGATACAGTATAATAAACAAATATTAATGCAGTAACATTGGTTTATTTATTTGGAATTTGTTGTGTTGACGGTCATAATAATGATATATAGCCAGACAAAAACCCTAGCCCTAAACACAGCACTACGTATCGTGTAGCCCTAAAACCTTATTTCGTAATCACGCAAGATCATAGTTTACGTAACAGTTACCGAGCATCTCCACAGATGTCCATGTAAAATAATATTTGGAAGCTCTGAAGATCAATACTCGATCCTCTGGCCCCCTATCCCGAATGAAATATATCGTGGCTTTCTTCAGTCCCACAAGAACAATGCTGCATTGGGTTAAAATAATCAGAGCTGATTACAAGCGCACCCTTTCATAGTATCATTGGCACTCTTTCCCATTTGACACTGTAAAAATGGTGAGAAAGCGTCGTTAAATAAGTCCTTACTAAGATTGAACTAATGGCTTCATGTTCTTATCAGTTTCTTCGTTACGCCGTTACAGATGACTGACAGAATTGTTGCACATTCAGTTTTAGTCTTACTGGTTTCCGTTTCGTGGGCGAACCTGAATTATCTTGCCCTGGGTTAAAAACACGAAAAGACACAAAAGAACGTCACAGAACAATGCGGTCCAACAACTGGAGCCGACTGATCAGTCTGGGATTACCTTTCGTGGCTTTCTGAATGAAAAGGCGTGGCCTGACCAGTCTGTACCGGCCTTGTATTATATACAAGGCCTAAAACGACCTCTACTAATGAGGAATCTGGCAAGTTGAAAGGAAATCTTGAGGACTGTTACAAGTACTCCAGTGGAATACACGTATTTGGCTGGCGCATTCCTGGCCACTTTCTGTATCTCAGTGGCCTGAATATTAATTTATTGGCGATATGAATACAGGCATATCCCTATGAAACTAATGGCAAAACAGACACCATATTGCATAATGTCGGAAACCAATTGTCCTTGTTCTTCGTTAAATATTCAGCATTCCATAAGATCTCAGGTATAAATTGTAGATCTTAATAACTCCACAATACACGTTTCGTTATATCTCTTGTACGGTTAAGTGTTTTCTAGGAAACCTGATCAAAATGTATTAAGTTCCATGTAAAGTAGGAGTTACATGAAACTAACACCAATTAAG